GGGAGGCGCCGTACCTGTCGGCCGCCGCGGGGTGGGAGCTCGGGGCCTCCGGGCGGCGGGGCGCCGGCCAGGTGCGCGCGGGGCGCGTGTGCGTGCACGTGGGTGGCTGGGGGGGCCGGGAGCTGCCCCCCCCCGGGACGGGCCCCGCGCCCCGGGGCTCGCGCTGCACCCCAGCCAGGCCCCCAGGACAGGCCTGGCGGGCAGGGGTTCCGGGATCGTGTGTGCTGGGAGGGTCCCTGCAGCCCACCCACGCGGCCCCTTGCGTCCCCGGAGGGCGGCGACCTTGGATTTGATGCGGGCTGAAGAGTCTGGGGATCATCGCAGGCTTTAGCCCCGGTGGCCAGGCCGGGTTTTGTTTCGCGGTTATTTAATGGGCTATAAAGAGGCAGCGTGCGTGGACTGCCTGAGTGTCCGCGAAGGGCTGCCGGGCACCGACACGTCTGTGTTGGCTCCCCATCCTTCCATTCGCTTCCTAACAAACAGGGGTTCTCCGGAAAGCCAATCTGTGTGCTTCTATTTTTAGAAACTTGATGATGGGCACTTAAACAACTCCCTGGGTTCTCCGGTTCAAGCCGACGTGTACTTCCCACGACTGGTAAAAGCAATGTGCTCGCTGTCTCTGCCTTTACCCCCTTCCTTTCTGGTGCATTTTGCTTGCTTTCTGGTGGGTCAGGTCTTCCGAGGAGGGCTTGGCTCTTCGCTAACAGCCTGTAAACTTCCCGTCTCTCCCCTCCTCCTCTGCAGATAGTTCCATTTTGTGGGCACATTAAAGGTGGTATGCGGCCAGGCAAGAAGGTGTTAGTGATGGGCATCGTGGACCTCAACCCAGAAAGGTAAGGGCCAGAGCCGAGGCCGCCGCTGCCTCTTCCTCTCCTTGTAGACAGCGTTGCTAGTTAGGAGTGCCAGGAAAGTACCATGTTCCCATGAAAAGAATGTGTAGGAATCCTAGCCATCATCTCTCCAGATAGCTATTTATATCAGCGATGGTAAAAATAGGTCTACAGTTTCTCTTTGACCCTTGAGGAGGCCAAAAGACTTTTTCTTTCTTTTTTTTTTTTGGTTTTGAAACACTGTAGTTGTAACCAAAGCTATTAAAATAATAAGAAACAAACTTACAAGACATTGCCCTTATCAACTTCTGGGTCCGTTTTCGAGAATTTTAAAGTGGATGAAGGCACAGGTGGCCTGGGTCGTTTGAAGTCTTCACTTGCAGTTATTTTCAGTTACACTGAACTTTTCACCAGAGCCTGCTTTAGGTAACAAAATCTATTGGTTTGAGTGTAATCCTTCTCTATATTTAAACTCTGTAAACAGTAGCCGCCCATTAAAAGCAGATGAGCCAACAGGAGGAGGAATTGGGTCAAGTTAAAATGTTACATTCAACTCCGCCAAAGTGACACTGTTTCCTTTTTAGCTTTGCCATCAGCTTGACCTGTGGTGATTCGGAAGATCCTCCCGCCGATGTGGCCATTGAACTCAAGGCTGTGTTCACAGACCGGCAGCTCCTCAGAAACTCTTGTATCTCAGGAGAAAGGGGCGAAGAGCAGTCAGCAATCCCTTACTTTCCATTCATCCCAGACCAGCCGTTCAGGGTAAGTACCTCAAGTACTGGAGCCCAGTGTTGGGAGGGCCCCTGCTTACTCATTATCTACTGTGTGCCAAGAGCTCTTTAAGAATTTCTTCCTGTCCAAGAAACTTGTTGCCCAGCCATGAGAAAAGAATTAAAAAACAACAAAAGACATCTGCTTACTGATAGACATTAATACTTACCATGGTAGCTCTTGAGTCTCTTCAGCCATGTGTTTTGTTAATGTATGCATAAATGCACACCTAATTGCTGACTACTTAACCACAATTCTACTTAGCTAATACAGAAGTATTAATTATTTACTTGTTTACTTTGGGGATGTTTCTGGGGATTGAACCCCAGGCCTTGTGCACATTAGGTAAGGTCTCTACAGCTTAGCTGCGATCCCAACCCACTTTGTGATTTCTGTTTTGAAATTGAATCTCATTAAATTGTCCAGGCTGATCTTGAATTTATAATCCTCCCAGCTCATTTTTCGGAGTAGCTTGGATTACAGGCCTGTGCCATCAGGCCAGGCTGGGAGTAATAATTTATTATTAAATTATTATTATCTCCTGGGCCTGGATCTCACCAATTAGGTAAAAATGGCTGGCCGGTAAGTCCAAGTATTTCCTGTCTCCACCTCCCCACCACTGGTAGTACAGGTGCATTCTGGACCTGGCATTTTTGTGGGAGTTTAGAGACTAATTATTAGATAATATTAATAATAACCTAGTAATAATTTTCTGTGTAACAGAACACAGTGTTAGGCATAGAGCGATAACCCACCCCCAACTGTCAGATTGATTGTTAAATATTAATTAGTATCTAGAATTTTCATGTTTCTCGGACTCTAAGTAGCTCGAAACCTTATTAGTTATGGGGTTAAAACAATTCAGTGGCTAATTTTTCATTTTCTCTTGTTCCCTTTGCTAATGAGTCCTTATTTGTGTATTTATTTCCCCCTGTGGGTTCATTAGGCTTGTCTGTGTCACGGTCACAAGCAGTGTGGCTGACAAATTTCTTCCCTTGGGCTTGGGTAATGGGCTTGGGTAGGTTTGCTCTAACTATCTAGTAGGCAGGAAACACAACCTGAAGCTGGAATCTCATCAGGCAGCAGTAGCACTCCCTTCCTCTGCAGGATGAGGCCACGTAAGAGGCACAAGCCAGTCATATAAAAGAGGACTTGCCGACAGTCGGGCCTGGCGATGCGGCCGTGGTCTGCGTGAGTCCTCTTACCATACGTCACAACATTGCACCTTGCTCAAAACCACGCTGCCAGTGAGCAAGAACAGACAAAGCTGCCCTTAATACGTCGCACTTCACGTGAACCTACCCAAGGCCTGCGACTGTTTCCCCTTCCTTATCGTCTAGGGCAAAACAAAAGTTCCTAACTTTTCCATCAGTGATAGAAATGAGATTGTTCCCCTTGTAATCCTAATCTCGGAGGTTACGCAGTACCTTAGCTTCTCCTTTAGAATGGAAAGCCCTAACAGGCTCCTCTTGCTATACCAGCTTCTTAAATGGTGTGTGTGTGTGTGTGTGTGTGTGTGTGTGTGTGTGTGTGTGTGTTTTCATGGGTGGTGAATGCACAGTGCTTGCAGTCTGGAGTGTGATTCAGGAACACTGTCATCCTTCTCCTTTGAGACAGGATCTCTCATTGGCCTGGATCTCACCAATTAAGCTAAACTGGCTGGCTGGTGTTTCCTGTCTCCAATTCCTCACCACTGGTATTACAGGTGCATTCTGGACCTGGCATTTTTGTGGGTGTTTAGAGCATTAAACTGGGGTCCTCTTGGCTAGGCAAGTATTTGACTGGCTGAGCTATCTCCGGTGGTAAATCCTCACGCCTGATTCATGGGTGTGAGCTTCTGACTAGGAGTACGCTGCTCCCCAACAGCAAAAACTGGAGTGAAATAGAGCTTCTTGATGATACAGTTTAATCAGTGATGTGAATTACATGTGACTAATATCACATAGGGAGTCCTCTGCATGGTGGCTGCCAGTGCTTTTCTAGGAGCATCATAGCATAGCCAACTCTTGTCATCTGTCATGGTCAGAGGACAGCCACGGTCTTCCAGGACAGCCAGGAACACACAGAGAAACCCTGTCTCGAAAAACAAACAAGCACCATGGTGAACCATGGAAAAGTTGAAGGAAAGGTTTACCATGTAGAATTGCTGTTTGTTTAGCTTAACAAAGCCATGTTAATTACACATTCTTGGTCCCATAGTAATTGCTGTGTAATCCTCCCTCTCTGCCTTAGTGTTTACCACGTTTGTCTAGACTATTATTAGATGCTGATAATGGCTGTCAATCGTGCCTCAGAAGAGGCCCCCCTGTAGGTGGGATGGAATTGTTCAGCAAGAGACATGAAGGCATGAAGTGTCATATAAACAGATCTTTGCTCCTTTGTACCTCTACCTGGAGTATAGGAAGAACTGTCACAGCCTCCTGTTTACAATCTTTCAAGCAATAGTTCTCAAAGTGGGTTCCCTGTCCCAGCATCTCAGTCATTCCTTGGTACTGGCGACAGTGCAGATTTGTTGACCATGCTCTGGACTTCCTGAACTGAGAGTTGGGGGAGTAGAACCCAGAACTCTGTACTGCAGCTTTCAGCATCTTGTGATGTTTGAGATTTATTAGAGGTGTTGCTTTTCTTCTCAACAGTGTGGGTTTGGGTTTTTTGTTGTTGTTATTTTTGTTTCTTCTAGGTGGAGATCCTTTGCGAGCACCCACGTTTCAGAGTGTTTGTGGATGGACACCAGCTGTTTGATTTTTACCATCGTATTCAAACATTATCTGCCATTGACACCATAAAGATCAATGGGGACCTCCAGATCACCAAACTTGGCTGATGTTTAAAGCACTTCTCTTTCAAATACGATCAGGTGCCACAGCTACACAACTGTCTGAAAGAAGTGTCTTAGCAAGGTCTGGAGACTTGAAAAGAAAACAGAAAGGCAGACCTCACTGTCTCTTTTTGTGCAATTTCAGTCCAGAATGACATCTTCATCTGTGGTCTGCCCAGAGGAAGAGAGCTCGCAGGAAAGACACCTTGCCATTCTGCCCAGAACAAAGTCATACATTTATGCTGGATTTTACTCAGACTAAGCTAAAATGGACTTGTGGTGATTTGTGATTTGATAGCAGATATTCATCATTTCAAAGCAAGGTGATATTTAGAAACAAAAGTGCTAAAGACCTTAAAAAAAAAAAAAAAAAAAAACAACGGTACATCAAATCGATGCATTTCTGCACTGAAGTGGAATTGCGTAGCACAACCGACATTTTAGTCAGGGTATTTACATAGAATGTAGATTGTGCAAGATTTGGTTTTTATGTTTTCTTGGGGGTTGTTTTGTTTTTGTTTTGTTTTTGTTTTTTGGCTCTGTTTTGTTGGCACAGCATCATGTTAACTCGAATTTTTAAGCTTTCTCAGTTATTTATTCATATTTAGTATATGTATTACTGTATTAGAGAATGAGCAATGTCTACAAATTATGAACTTAGGTACGAGGGGGGAAACTATGTAATTACAAGCATAAAACAAGTGGATTTATATCTTAAAGAATTTGAGCATATTCTCCATACCCCTCAACTTTGGCTTCTTAACATAACTGCTATAAGTGCTTTGGGGGAAATTGGCAACATTTCGATAAAACTCTAAGGTTTCCGTCGATGATGTGAACTTTTGTTTGCACTGCTCTTTCTCCTTCCTTTGGATTAGCACAATATTGGCTCCCTTAAGTCTAACTACTCCCTAGATTTACATAATAGCTCGTTAAGTTGTTATTAAACTAGTGGAAAACATGTAAGAGGGATTGCATAGACAACTTTTAAAATAACTACTCTATCAGTTTTTAATAGTATACTATAAAAATGATTCCAGGACTCAGTGTAAGGCAGAAGCAAATTGCCCCAACTTATGTACTAAGAAATAACTTATATCAACTTAGGCTGTTAGCTCACTGTATAATTTTTCTTCTGAGACCCTCCCCAGTATCCGTAAGCAATGCCTTTGGAGATCCTGAGCAGACGATGCCACCTCTCTGGTGGTTTGCAGGAAGTAGAATGAGGTAGGCTCCAGTTAGGTCGCCTGAAAGATTAAGTCCCAGGATTTCAGGCCTTTGAGTCCAGCCAGAAGTGTTCATGCTTCCAGGGAAAGTGCTTTGCCCACACTTGCAGAACTGATCAAATTGAAGCTGTCTCTAGCAGTAGGCTGCTGGTTGTTGATGTATCTGCAAGGCTAGGGATGCTTGGAGTCATGGACATTCTTTCAAACACTGCATAGGCCCTGGAGATCCGGGCCCTTGGCATTGCTTGGTCAGGTAGCGGGAGAAGAAGGGTGCCGGGTGGGTGTGCATTTATATATAATTTAGGTTTTGTTTGTACAGTGTGTGTGTCACTAGGGCATCATCTTGTCCTGCTTTGCTTTTAAGGTGTTTTCTTTTTTTACACAACATGCAGAGGCACTGAAGTGGCCATGTCATCTTCATGTGTCAGGAATGTAGACAGTGTTTCAGAACCAAAGTCTAAAGATAAATAAAGGAAACTAAAATAACAAATTTTTTATAGATGATATATTTGGAATCTTCTCAACTTTGAAACTGTTTCACACAGTTCCGTGGTGTTATATACAAAGACTTGTCCACCGAGACCAGCTGCACCTTAAAAAGCTTTACGTACCAGCTGGCCTCTCAGCCATAGTCAGCCGTGAGAGCTGTTTTGTAGCTCCAGGTATTTTTTAAGCCTGTGATCAATTTCTCATGGGTTGAAAGGCCACTTTGTAGGAGTGTTTGTCAGGAGACTTAGGAAGCACCCTGAGAAACATTTGTAAGAATTTGGACCTAACCCATGTAGTAAGCAGTCCCGGGAGAGCTCTCCCGAGTGGCCACGCGTGTAAGTCAGCAGAAACTAGGCGAGTGGGGAGTCAGGTTGGAAGTGACTTTCCCCTACCTGTCAGCTAACCCAGAAGCTGACGTGGCTGCTCAGTGTGGAAACCAGTGTTAAACCATCACCCTGCAGGTCAAAGGGATCCTCTGTGGTCAGCCTCCTGGGATTCATCTGAGCAGTGTGACAGGCTGATTTTTGGACTAGCTAAATAAAGAGGGGACACATCCCACTGTCCTAATGACTAGCTAGAAACTAGGGCAAGTTCACACTCTCCTCAGCCTGAGAGGTCTAATGTGGGAATTTCAGGATGGAAAGTGCAATTTAAAGCTTCACGGGGCAAATACTTGCATACGTAAGGACAATCTGCGGCAAAATTGGAGTAAATGTGTCTGTCAAGTCAAGTGACTTCTACTTTCTGGGCTGTTCCAGACATGTCTTAAAATTACTATTTTTTTAAATTCCGAAGCCTGGTTTCAAATCTTGCCAACATCTCTAAGACCCCCTAAGAGATAGAATTGATGATACATTAAATGGCAAATTGATGTGCATTAAGAGGAAAATATCCAAAAAAGGATTGAGCCCTATTGCCTTGAGAAAACAGCTTTGGCACTTTCTGGCATTAATAAAGGTGATGTTCCTGTGATGACGTATTTTCAAAGAAACACTTTCTTATTTACTGCGTGGTGTGAGGGTTAGATGTGTTGTTACATTATGTCACTGCTGAACGTTATTTGCACTATAATAAAGGAATTTTCTACAAGATAGCTGCTGGGTTACTACATGCTGAATTTGGCCCTAGATCTGTAATGTACTTATCATAGACTATGTGCTTAACAGTGGCCCCTCTGTGTCCCATGCTTATCAGACACCTACAATGTGTTTCCCACATTGAAAAAAAGCGAGGAAAATGTCTCAGGCTTCCAAAGACCTAATGAGCTTATGTTGTGGATGCCAGAGTTCTGTTTCAATTAAATATAAAAAGCATAATGCTATTTTGCATGCAGTGATCTTACTAATTGTTACATAGTACTATGAGGTTGATGCTTGCATAGATTTAGTATGAAACTTGGATACAGAATCATTGTTTCATCCCTCAACACTCCTTATATTTAAATGTCTCCAACCTCTAACTTTGGTCATGCAGCCACTTATCTATTCTCCCTTGCTGCAGCTTTGCCTATTTTGTAATATTGTAAATGACAGAGTCACAGGACATTCACCCCATGATGTCTGACAGTTGGCTTCTTTGAATCTGCGTGATGTGTTTGAGCTACATTATATCTGCTTCCGCTGCTGCACATCCTTCCACTGTAAGGGTAAACTAAAGTGTTACACTGTATCCACTCTTCTCTCCTGCCCTCTCTCTTTCCACGTCCCCCAGCCGCCATCAAGGTGTCCCTGTGTAATCCAAGCTGTCCTCAAAATTGTGACCCTCCTCCCTCAGCATCTCAGGCTGTCCTCACGTTGTCTGGCCTCAGCAGGCCAAGTGAAGTGCCGGTGGGTGTGAGTTTGCTGCTTGCTGTCTTTCGCAGTTCTTGGTCCAGACAGGCCGGAGGCTGCTAAGGTGAGGCGATTGGCTGAGGCCTCCAGGCGGAGACCAATGAGCTCCCAGCACCCCGAGCCAGTCTGGAGATGTCCTTGGGGGATAGAATGGTTTACCAGTTTTGTGATGGCTCGCTAAATTAGATAGTCTGACCGAGATCAGTAATTAGAGCCTCTAAAGCCTCCAAGTACTTAGGGCTGTCATTCATTCAACAGGTGTTTGTTGAGCTGTGTCAATTGCTGCTCTAGACACTGAGATCCATCTGTGAGTTAAAAAGACCCAGGAGGTTTTAAATTTCAATGGGATTAGTCACCCAGGAAGTCTATGCTCACCTCCAGGAAATTGTATCTGTGAATCTCGTAGCGCCTGGGAGTTTGTATTTTCAAAAACATCTTACATCTAGGTGGTCTTATGTCCCAGACGAAGCAGCCCTTCAAAAGCTAACTCAGTTCTGATGTGCAAAGACTGATGTGATTTGCTTTCAACAGGTTTCTTACTGTCAACTCTGCCACTGGTGTCACATGGCGGGCCACGTCCTTGCTTTAACTTCTCCCCACTCCTGCCTCTTCACCTAAAATGCACTGTACTAAAAGGAAATTTGCCTTTCCTGTATGAGTTGTTTTTCCTGTAAACGCCTTCCTTGTGTGGGCTGGGTAAGGTCTTGGGTTCATGCTTACATCCACTTTAAATAGTGCACACCCTTGAGAGATTGGGGTCCTGGGAGGGGTCATCTTCTCTCTGAGTGTTTCAGTTATTCACTGTGAGCCCCAGACGTTCAATAAGACCAATACACGGTGCCTTTCAACCTAAAAAGAAGCTGAGGGCAGGGGCAGAGGCCCCAGCAACTTTTCATGGGACCTTGGAATCAATTCAAAGTCTTCAGAAGAAAATCCACCTGAACACACTCCGAGACCGCCTCCAGCTGCTTGCGACTTAATCACCATGAATTTCACAATGATTTACCTTTTGAAAAGAAAAAAGTATCTCGTATAAAGCAGAAAGCTGCCTTGCAAAACACACTTCATAATTAATTAAAATGGGTGTGTCTAAGATGCTGAAACAATACCAACCTAGAGAGCAAGAGAAAAAATAGCCACTGACTTGTTCTATTGCTTTGATACACCCTTCCACTGCCCAGAAGGAGACAGTGGCCAGGTGAGCAAGCCTGGGAAAGAGGTACCATTGTTTGAGAGGGTAACACAGTCAGACTCTAAATAATAGGCCCTGAAAGGAAGTATGGAGCCAGCCACAGGCCTTGGGCATGATGTGCGGGTTTGAGACCTTTAAGACCTTCCCAGCTCTCAGGAGCTAGAACAAGTGCAAACATTTGCTAATAACCCTGTACCTCCCAGGCTGTCAGCATCTCCCCCTTCTGTCTTCCCTCTCCTCCCTGTTGCCCAGGCCACAGCATCCCAATGATCTTAATTTTAAAACAACAGGAGCGAATGATCGATGCTTACGTAAACTGCTGCTCTGCACTGAGGAGGAGACGGTCAGTCTGTGGGCAGGACCAGTGGCAGTATCCTCTGGATTTGAGAAATATTCTCAGGTGGGTACCTTAAACCAACAGCCTTCTCTTACCTCCCAGGGGAATGGGCACTGGTAATGACACACATGGAGAGCCAATGGTGGTCACAGGCTGGAATAAAATGTTTCTGACAGCTGAAGGAACCGAAGTTTAAAATAATCATGACACCAGTTTCTACATTAGCCCTCCATATCTTTGTAAAGAATAGAAAACATGCTCATCAGAATGTTCGTCACACAATTGCATTGGAATCCTATTTAAAACTTAGCCAAGGGCCGGCCTCGCGGCTCATCCCAGCACTTGGGAGGTAAAAGCAATAACAAGAGTTCAAGCCCGAGGCTAGCCTTGAGAATTTCCTCTGGGAAATAAAAACAGTAACAAAACACAAATGCCACCCAAAAATCGAACCTAAACTAGTAACGTTGGGAAATATACTTAGGGGAAAACATACTTCGGGGTTTTTCTGTGCACATGTAAGCATATGGTTTGTGTACATGCGTGTGTGCCAGTCTGCAAGCATCTGGACACGAGTATGCAGGTGCACACGCAAAGGCTGGAGGCCGACGTTCACAGCAAAGACTCCACCCGCTGGGCCATTTCCCTAGCCTCTACTGAGGATTTTTTTTAATGTGAATTATTAAAACTACTGTAATATTAGAAAACAGGATTTCTCCTAATGCAATTAAAATAACCTTTGACACAGTAGTGAATAAGATTTAATGTAGTGCTAAAGCACTTAACCAGGAAGAGAGGCACTTTTGAAGTAATGGAGTCGTGCTGAAAGCAAAGTTTTAATGAGTGTCTGTGGAGTGGTGGTGATCTGTTACGATTCTCGTTAACCACTTGTCTATCCCTGACTTGTTAAGTCCTCACAAGACGGGATCCCACACAGCCTAAGCTGGTGTCTGTCACTAGAAGGGGCTGGGAGTCAGTTACTGAGGTCCCCTCAAAGGCTTAAGACACCTAGCATTGTCTTTACTCTTGGAGATGTTTTGAGAGTCCCCTTAGAATCCTTCAAATTAAGTACATAATGTTTAAATTCAGTCTCCCACATTGAAAGACCAACTACTGTTTTTTTGTTTTGTTTTGCTTTTTATTGGTTGTGCCTTTTTTTTTTTTTTTTTTTTTTTTGTTTTGTTTTGTTTTGTTTTTTGACACAGGGTTTCTCTGTGTAGCTCTGGCTGTTCTGGCCTCACTTTGTAGATAAGGCTGGCCTGGAACTCACAAAGATCCGCCTGCCTCTGCCTCTCCGAGTGCTGGGATTACAATTGGTTGTGCTTTCTAAAGTATGTCTAAATACTTAATTCATGCCCATGGTTCTCTCATGCTGAAGAATCACTTCCAATGCGCTAATGAAGCTAGAGATGAATGAAGCCTTTTCTTGAGAAGGCCCCTTCTTAGACAGTATGGGCTATAAAAAGAGATAAAAGACCAACACATCTGCCCTTGAGGAGTTTGTGACTTAATTAGACGTATGGCATATTACATAAGGAAAGATTTACGACTGCACATACTTATAGCTGGAGCAAACACAGCACTGCATGCTCTGGGAGTTTGGGGAGGACAGAACTTCCTGCTGGGTGGGGTGACCCAAGAGGGCTTTGGGGTCAGAACAGCTCTGGTGTGACTTCCGAAGTCACCAGGACACACTAACTTGATCTTTGGTGCTAGCGGGCGTTGAACTTTTTGTTCCTCTGAGAAAGGTTCCATGGAGGATTGTGTTGGTTTGTTTTTGTTTTGTGTTTTGGGAGGGATAGAGTTTTACTTGGTAGCCCAGGCCGACACCAGTATTTGTTCCTTCCCCTGCCTTAGGCTCTCCAGGACCAGGATTGCAGATTTGCCCCACCATGCCCAGATTTTTTTCCCCTGTCTGCTTTTCCTTTGTACTGCTTAATTATAAAACGTTTAACTTTGGCTAGAAAGGCAACCCCCTTAACGACGCCTTGAACAAAGGTCGTCTGAGGAATCAGACTGTGGCTGACCCTAACATGCACACACCAGCTCCACCCGCTTAGCATCAAAAGTGAAAAAAACTTCTTACGTAGAAAAAGAGCTGCTGAGACCTGCGGACAATTCACCTGTTATTCCTTTAAAAGAGCCAAAAGCCTAAGAAAAGAGACGTGATTCAAACTGCACTGGGGTAGCTGTTTCCTGGCCTTCAGAGAACATCCCTCTGGCTTCTTGCAGTGTTTTAAAATTTGAAGATATTTGAAATCTGAAGCATTTTCGTGTCTTACACATTGCCGCTAACTACAAATCAAGCCTTTCACCTCATGTTTGACCAATGAAACAAATAACTACTCCAAAACTATGGGGAAAATACCCAAAAGTATAACCCCTGCTGGGGATGTAGCTCAGTTGTGTAGACTTGCCTAGTGTTTATAAGGCCATTGGTTCATGCCCTAGCTAAGGGGAAGAGATTGGGGGCAGGGTACTAGACTGAAACATCCCTTTCTAAAAGATGAAGCTAGTTCCCCTCTATATATCTATATTTCCTAACCGTCTTGTATTTACCCCTCTGCGCTGACTTCAGTATCTAATCCACGAATAGAACAAACCTGCACCATTTATCCCAAAAAAGTACTATCTATATCTATATAGATATCTATATAGATAGATACAGATGTATGAGACCTATTCTATGTGTGGGTTATAGACAGGTTTCTTCTAACCATCTGTGGTGAGCGGGAAAT